TTTCCGCAACTTATTCCAAGTTTAATGAACGTACAGTATATTGATGTTAACCGAGAAAAATGTTTGATAATTATCTAGTAAATTTAGTTGAATACCAAACCGTTTTTAAATATGTTACGTCTGCATTGTTTATAAAATTGAAATACACTATGTTTGGTATTATATATGGCCAAGTCAAAACGTGCTACTGTTCTGACATAATAAATCAAATCTATAAGGTATCTGCTTTACTCCGAATGTGTCGTAGCTGCCTTTATTGGCGGTTTTTGAGAAATCGCCTTTCAAAAACGATATTTTGAAATTGAAAAAAATAAAAGGGCGTAAACATTTTTTGTTTTATACTTTCCAACTTATTCCAAGTTTAATGAACGTACAGTTTGATGTATGACCAAGAGAAAAAGTGTTTGATGAATTATCCAGTAAATTTAGTTGAAATACCAAACCGTTTTTAAATATGTTACATCTACATAGTTGATAAAATTAAAATTATACGCTATGTTTGGTATTATATATGGCCAAGTCAAAACGTGCTGCTACTGTTCTGACTATAAAATCGAATCTATAAGGTATCTGCTTTCTCCAAATGTGTCGTAGTGCTGCCTTTATTGGCGGTTTTGAGAAATCGCTATTTCAATTACGATAATTTTTTGAAATTTTGAAAATAATCCACAAGAGGACGTAAAATGCTTTTTGGTATTTTATACTTTCCGCAACTTATTCCAAGTTTAATGAACGTATAGTATATATGTATGTCCAAGAGAAAAAGATGTTTGATAAATTATCTAGGAAATTTATTGAAATACCAAACCGTTTTTAAATATGTTACGTCTGCATTGTTTATAAAAGTTTGAATACACGCTATGTTTGGTATTATATATGGCCAAGTCAAAACGTGCTGCTACTGTTCTGACATAATGAAATCAAATCTATAAGGTATCTGCTTTACTCCGAATGTGTCGTAGTGCTGCCTTTATTGGCGGTTTTTGAGAAATCGCCCTTTCAAAAACGATAATTTTTCGAAATTCCGAAAAATCCACAAGAGGGCGTCAAATCATTTTTTGGCATTTTAAGATTTGCACACTAATTCCAAGTTTAATGAACGTACAGTTTTGTGTATACCAAGAGAGAAAGTATTTGATGAATTTCCAGTAAATTTAGTTGAAATACCAAACCGTTTTTAAATATGTCACATCTACATGTTATAAAATTGAAAATATACGCTATGTTTGGAATTATATATGGCCAAGTCAAAACGTGCTGCTACTGTTCTGACATATTAAAATCGAATCTATAAGGTATCTGCTTTCTCCAAATGTGTCGTAATGCTGCCTTTATTGGCGGTTTCGAGAAATCGCTATTTCAATACGATAATTTTTTGAAATTTTGAAAATAATCCACAAAAGGACGTAAAATGCTTTTTGGTATTTTATACTTTCCGCAACTTATTCCAAGTTTAATGAACGTACAGTATATATGTATGTCCAAGAAAAAGATGTTTGATAATTATCTAGTAAATTTAGTTGAAATACCAAACGTTTTTAATATGTTACGTCTGCATTGTTTATAACTTTGAATACACGCTATGTTTGGTATTATATATGGCCAAGTCAAAACGTGCTGCTACTGTTCTGACATAATGAAATCAAATCTATAAGGTATCTGCTTTACTCCGAATGTGTCGTAGTGCTGCCTTTATTGGCGGTTTTTGAGAAATCGCCCTTTTCAAAACGATATTTTTTGAAATTCCGAAAAAATCCACAAGAGGGCGTAAATCATTTTTTGTTATTTTAGATTTGCCACTTATTCCAAGTTTAATGAACGTACAGTTTTGTGATATACCAAGAGAGAAAAGTATTTGATGAATTATCCAGTAAATTTAGTTGAAATACCAAACCGTTTTTAAATATGTTACATCTACATAGTTAATAAAATTGAAAATTATATGCTATGTTTGGTATCATTATGGCCAAGTCAAAACGTGCTGCTACTGTTCTGACATATTAAAATCAAATCTATAGGTATCTGCTTTTCTTCGAATGTGTCGTAGTGCTGCCTTTATTGGCGGTTTTGAAAATCGCCCTTTCAAAAACGAAATTTTGTGAAATTTATCAAAGAAATCCACAAGAGGGCGTAAATTTTTTCGGTATTCAACTTTCCTAATTATTCTAATTAATGAGTGCATTATTGTGTGTGACAAAGAGAAAAATATCTCTTTGATGAACATCCAGTAATTTAGTTGAAATACAAAATCAGTTTCAAATTGTGTATATACATTGTTTAAAAATTGAAGAATATACGCTATGTTTATATTATAATGGTCAAGTCAAAACGTGCTGAGACTGTTCTGACAATTGAAATCGAATCTTTGAGGTTTCTACTTTTCACCAATGGTGTTGCAATGCTGCCTTTATTGGAGTTTCATGAAACGACCATGTTACACGAGGAAAATTCAGTCATTTTTAAACATCTCTCAAAGAATATAAAAAAATTTGTGCACTGTAAACATGGCTTTAGCTTGTTTACTATATATTAACAATACGAGGAGTGTAATTAATGATTGTTTTGCTTTAATTGCTATTGTGAAACTAATCAAAATATACACTTTCTTTTAAAAATCATTGGGAACAATTATTTTTACGCGTGGGTATTTTCTGCGATTCTGTCAGTCACAATTTCGTGTTTTGCTGCTAGCTTCACAGAGGTCTTACAAACTGATTTATATGTAGGATACTAATAGTTTATAGTATCGTATAGTCTATCGCAGCTTCTCCGGGACTAATTTTTGATTATTGCAACTGAACTGAAGCTCATCGGAAGACATAATATTAATGACAATTAAAATATTTCATTCGCAACTAATTTTCAAACTACTAAAAACGGACAAATAACCCGAAAATTCGCAAAAACCATGCGTGTATATAAGTCTGAGCGTAAATATATACTACTTAACTACTAGTGTCTGGGCGAACAAAGTGTCTGATCGGCTTCAAAAATCACATTGTTACGTAAATGTTGACTTTTTAATGATTCGTCATTGTTACGGAAATAAACAAGGAAATCGATGCTTGAAGAAACATCCACAAATTTGACTTGACTTTAGATTTTTCACTCTAATGAACTCTTCCGAATTTCGCTGTAATGAAGCTTCGCAATTTCGTCAACTTCTTATGTACGACAGCCAGGAAACTACGTTTATAGATAACTGAGGTCAGGAGGTATTTTTTTTACAATTTTTACAATTTTTACAAAAAAAAAAAAAAAAAAAACTAGATACCGGTACTGGAGATACGGTACGGTATACCGGTACCGTACCGGTACCATACAGATACCGGTACTGGTAGGATAGACTAATAATGCGTACCGGTATTTCACTTACGGTAGGTTATACTTTTACTTATGTCTTTGGTGTTGGTTTTGTCTTGACTGCACAAAGATATCCCATCGTTACTTAGTTCAGTCAGTTAGAACAGCACTGACAGGGATTCGACAGGCTCGCAGAGGTTGGGCACCACTGCTTTAGCCTATTACAGTACTAGGCCTATGCCATTTTTGTATGCCATGGTGAATGCAAAAAAAAATTAACAAATAAATATTCAACCAGCGTAAATGACAATTCAAAACATTTCCCTGGTTTAGGCACAGAGAGGCGAAACCCCTGCTGCCTTTTTTTACATAATTTGTGAGTTGCAGAGTTGGGAAAATACGGTACATAACAGCATAAAGGAGAGTTTCACCAACAGAGTACCATCTCTGTTCTTTATAGGCTCATTATCGTGATAGAGCATGCTAAACAGGGAGATACTTGGCAAATATTTATGCAAGCAGCAATTAAGTAATACGACAAAAAACATTCTAATTGCATCTGAATTACTATAAATTCTGAAATGGGAAATGCTTGCAAGAATACGCTTGAAGACGATAAAATTGACCACGAATAAATTAAATTAATTTTAAGAAAAAGATTCGTTCAACTGACTACTACGACTGCGAGAAAGAAATTTTTTTTATAAATTAATACTGAAATATCAGAGATGCGAATATTTTGTGGCTAACAGCGTATTGCTGTATTGACAAACTCAGGCCTTATTATTATTGTGGACTATGTTTAAATTTGTAATTCAGAAAGTCCAAATATGCATAATGGACGCGGCGCTGACGAGCGATAATTAATTGGTCGACGGCGACGCTGTATCTCGATCAAACATGGTAGCTGGAGCTAAAGTAAGACGACATTCGCACAGTATGCTTGGTCTGGTATGAAATCTGGCACGTGTTGATGTAAAACAGTGCACAAGTTGCCATTCCTCAAGTATTATCTACTTCCATCTGTCGTTATGACATCGCTAGAAATATCGTAATATCGCAGTATCGTAAATATCTAATAGTTCTTTTAAATGTACGCGAAATATTCCACTCAGAACAATGTTCAAATTAAATTTTTATCAAAATTAAATATCGTCGTCGGTAGCTGATTCTCTATCCAATCATGCCTGGGCGTACCATAACTTAGTCGCAGCGCATGTGTGTCATCAAATTCGTGGAAAACTGAACTCGCAGTCTGGGGGAAATTACGCCACACATCATCTCGAGTAATACGTAAAAGAGTGTGTTGTGCTGAACTTGAAACAAATGACGGCAGATCAGTAAAAAAGTCAATCACGAAAAATAAATTTTCATTTCCATCCCATAATTTGGAGTGCCGCATAATCGCATTCGGCAGATTTAATGCAGCTGAAAACAACGATTAAGAAACGTTCAATGTTTTTTTTTTGGTGAATCGCTCTCTTTTTCCGAATCGCGTAAATCCAAGGACCAAAAGTGGCATCCCTATCTGTAGGTGGCAAGCAAAAAATTGAGTAATCGAACCTACAACTATTCTACTGTACAACGCTTTGTCTTCATTTTATCAATATATACAAGTACTAATATTAATATTGTCTTATTTTGTTATTTTTTCTGTTAACTTGAAATATTTATGGAACTGTTGCTTAACACATTTGACTTATACTGAGGTGTGCAGACTTACCAGCTCACTCTGTTTGGATTTTTATCTTGCAACTTACGAAACTTGTGCAAATAACAACCAATGTAACTGATGATTTAACAAGAATTTAGATCCAATTTGAAACTGAAATTAAGATGAGTAAGGGAGATGAAGATAAAAGGCCTGCTACAGCTTCAAAAGTTAATGTGGCCGTGCGAGTTAGACCTTTTAACAAAAGAGGTGAGGCAAAAGATTTATTATTCATGTATGTGGTGACGACTTTTTAAAGAAGGGATCTTGTGTAAATTTATTTATTATAATATAAATAGCATTCTGACAAACAACATTACTATGGTCGTTGCCAAATTTAATCTGAGGTTTGCGAGTTCGATTTTGTGGGTTCTGTACATCGTCTCATGCTTTCACATATCATGGAGATCTGATATTGTGCATCAACCAAATTTAACTTTGTCCCAGTTCACTCTGGCTTACATCTCTTGCGTGTTTACTCTTAAGTAAGCATATTCTCATAAGGAAATATTACTTTTCACATTATTTTCAGAGATTGAATTGAATTCAATTTGTGTTGTGGATATGGAAGACAATCAAACTATTCTGCTTCCTCCACCTGTTGTAGGAAAGGCACCTGATAAGTAAGCTAATAATTTTTTTATATATATATATATATGTTTTTTTCATTGCTGTTACATTACAATGAGCAAAAATCTTTGGGACTGTTCACTGTTCAAAGTTCATTCAAGTGCACAACAAATACCTCAGTTGGCTACTAACAATTGGTATCTTGAGAGAATCTTTTAATATATTTTGCTAAATTCATTTTTGTATTGTAAATTTGGAACAATACAAATCGTATATGTTTTCCCAAGTTTATATTTTTCGTTTTTGGCATTCCCACTTCTTAACTATTATATATTGATTCCTGTATTTGCAAAATTAAGTATACCGTAGTTATTTACTATTGCAAATGTTAGCAATTTGTTGTAATTGACCTATATTTGATTGTGAACTGCATTGTCAAACTGAAATTCCAGGGTAAACTGGAACATTTTATTAACCTTTTTAATGTTATATTTGTTATCTGGGATGTGTCACTATTCCTAATACCCTTATACAAACAAAGTTGTTTTGCTTTATATTTATATTGTTTGTATATCTGACATGTGTTTATTTTTCACAAGAACGCCCCAATTACATGGCAAGCTAGTACAAAATTGTTAGTAGCCAACTGAGGTAGTTGTTGAGCACTTGAATGAACTTTGAACGGTGAACCATTTTGGTCTTTGTACTACAAGTGTTCGATGCTGATGTAATGTGTGTGTTTCATAAAAATAATTCATTACATCAATATCTAATTATTTGTGAACATATCATATGTAGAATTGAATAATTTTTAAATCAACAGCAGTTCTTGCAAGTCATAGCAGAATCTGTCGAAGTTTATCAGCGTAAATATTTTCATGGGAATTACCACATGGTTTTGATCAAATATTTCATTGGTAGCTGCTGCTATTGCATATAGTATATATTGAAATATAGTGTGTATAATGATGAAATGTTTGTTCGTAATGACTTTTCTAGAAAACTATATTAAAGTACTATGATGTGCTATTATTAAAAGAAACTGACATTCAAATATTCAATCATTTTTTAAATCTCAATCATACTGATACCTTATTAAAGAAGTTAATATTAATAAGAAATATCTAGTTTGAAACCTATTTATACTTTCATGGTCTCTCATTTTGCGTCATAATAATAACGACCTGAGATGCCCTTTGGGGATTATGGTCCTTTTCTTCTTAATATTGACCAACTTTATACTAGTTTAAAAGCCATGATTTCATCAATTGTCTGGGATTGTCCCAACAAAATGCAATGTTTTACAATCAAAAAATATTATTTGCAGTCAATATTATTAATAGTTGTACATTCAACTACAGGGCCTTTGAGGAAAAAAAATTCCAACTTTAATAAATTCCTCAATATTACAGTACTGATCAGTTGCCATTTTCATATGACAGTATGTTTAATTAGTTTCACATGTTAATAACTAATTTTTTTTTGACATGGATGATTGTATAATTGTTGAAATTATTTTTAAGTTACCAGGCCTCATTATAAAAATAAAAAAATTGAAATGAGTTATTCATATGATTGATTCATATCAAAATCCAGATTAAATTAAGTACCCAAGTTTATATGGACTTGAACTTATTTTGAGTTCATTGCCTGCTATTTTGCTGCCAGTTATTAAAGCGTTATTATTTAAATCTGTTCCTTATGTTCATGTGCCAGTATGTTCTTCTTGTGTTTTAACTTTTGGACACTAAAAAAATGTTGTTGGACACTAAAAAGCTTGTTGATGACCATAGTTTTTGTAATTCCGAGAATTTTTTTGGAAGTCTCTTTTATACAGCTGTTAAATTGCTGATTTTGTTGATTTGAACAGATTCAAATGTATTTTCAAGTTCTTGATAACTCTTGACATACCAGGAGTGTCCTTCATTTTGATATTGAAGGATTTTCTTTTTTTGAGCTGTGCTGGTGACCCTGCTTCAATAAGCAAATATAGAAAGAATCTATCTATGCTGATTACCATGTACAAAATAATTGAATTTCTCCATGATCATTGCTCTATCATTGAGCCTGGCTGGCCTATACCACTGCGTCAATATAATCATTAAAATTTTTTTTCATGTATCGTGAACAGAAAACACACCAAGGTAAGCTCAGAATCTTGTGTTTTTTATTCTTTGAATTTCAATTAATATTACTTGACTTTGACACTAAAGTTACCATAATCTGCTAGTGCTGGTTGCCGAAAGACCATAAAGCAAAATTATGCCTAATTATCACCTTGGCCTCGTAATAGGTAATACCAGTGTTGAGTAGCATGTGTTGAATTTCAAAGGGAAAACAGCATCTAATGGTATTCTAGATCAAGTAGGCACCAAACATATATCTGCAATTAAAGTTCAATATATCTATGTTCTCACGTTGATTGACTGTGGTAACCCTTAGCAACCATAATGAAAACTGCATTTTTAAATTTTACAACCTTACAAGCTGTGAGTTTGCTTTTCAAGTGTACTGTGGCATGTTTAATAATTCAGACAATGGCTGTGATGTAATGCTGTACTTATGGGCGAGAATTGAAATAATATTATTATAGCCTACCTGTTGTCTTATATCCATATACTATACATAACATAAAATGATTGTTCCTAGTAATGTAACGAGAAAAGTTTTGTTAATAACATTCTCTTGAATGCCCTGCTTGAATTCCGGCAAATATATTTCAAATCTATATTTTATTGAAAAACATTTCTTTATATATTATTTCGTTTTTGTTCTTTTCAGACTTTTGCCTTTGATCATTGTTTTTGGTCAATGGATCCATCTCAAGAAAATAAATTTGCAACACAAGAATCAGTCTTTGAGAAATTGGGATTTGATGTCTTAACAAATGTATTCACTGGATATAATGCCTGTATATTTGCTTATGGACAAACAGGTACAAAATTATTATACTGATTGAATGATTTGAATGAAAAATTCTAGGTAAACTTGTGAAGTAGCGTACTCAATGATATTGCTGCTGCGATTCCCTCAATGTAATAGATATGTGGTTATCTTGCATTGCAAAAAAATAACTGGAGCCTAATTATTTAAATGAAACTTTTAAACTAATTTGTATTTACATCCAGGGGTAGTGACAGTTTGCAATTTTGCTAATTATGATGCATTTTGTCATTGTGGTTTAGGGGTCTGTAGCAAATTATGTATGTCTTATTACTTATCGATTTTAATCGGTAAGTATGTTGATAGGTATTTGTCTGTCTGTTTGTTTGTCTGTTAGATGCACGCGATATCTCACGAAAGCGAGATTGAATCTGCTCCAGATTTTGCATGTGCATTCATCATATGTCGTACCAGAAGCCTATTGATTTTGTATGAATTATGTCGTATAATAAAATTAGCGAGTTATTAATTAATTAGTGATGGGACACAAGGTGTCACTATGGAGTAAGAGCGCTGTTTTGGGGATCCCCTAACTTTCGATCGATAAGTCTTCGGTCTCTGACCGATATTCTCGTTTTTGTTTTGTTCTAAAATTTCCTATTTTAACATTTTTTGAGTATTCTGTAGAAGCAATTGAATGCAATTTACTATTTTTAAATAATTTTTTTCTCACTGTCTTCGCAGTTTCGACTCAATTTCTTTTTTCCATTGACTTATTCATCTTTTCATCAGGTTCTGGCAAATCTTACACCATGATGGGATCACATGATCAACCAGGATTAATTCCTAGGCTCTGTTCTGAACTTTTTGAACAAATTGTAACAAACACAAATGAACATCAGTTTTTTAAAGTTGAAGTATCATACATGGAAATTTATAATGAAAAAGTTCGAGATTTATTGGATCCTGAAGGGTGAGATTTAGTTGTACGATCCTTTATAAGTTGTGTTCCCATATTGTAAAGATTATTAACAATTTGCACGATTAGTTATAATTTATTATTTTCACCAATTTGCAAGTTAGGCTACTGTATAACAATAACTAACTTCTTAAGCGATGCATGATGCACAATTAAAGGGTCCATATTACCTGTCAATCCACTTCATTCACTGTGTTATATTGAGTTATTTTCAGTGCTAAATTTTTGGCAACATTCTTGTACACATGCATCTTCGGAGACAGGTTATTTATACCGATCTATATGATTGGTCTTCATGTTCACATTATCCTTGAAATGTTGCCTTATAATTTGATGTAGACAACAGTGAACATGCATGCTTGACTAACCACAAAATTGAATAATTTTTTCTGTTTTTTACTTGCCCAGGGGAAAACGTCATTTGAAGGTTCGAGAACATAAATCATTAGGACCTTACGTAGATGGTCTGCAACAACTTGCTGTGTCAAATGCCAGTGATATCCAGGTATTTATAATTCATTGAATGGCTTTATGTGTAAAGCTGGCATTTAAAATATGCAGCATAAATTGCATACATCGGAATAAAGTATTTGATTTGAGGAAGGTGTATGTGTCTGTCTCTTGATTTTTGTTTCATTAAATGGTTATCTGTTATTTTTTTCGGTTCACTACAATATTTACCACTTCTTAGTTCAGCTTGAATGTCCCACCGTATTTCATTCGAATACAATTTATTAGGAAATTCTTATTCCATTACTGAACTATATTCTTTAAAAAATGAAATCAATAAGATAATTGAAATTGTATTTCTATTTTGGCTAATATGTGAACTCTTTCCAGGAATTAATGTCAGAAGGTAATAAATCAAGAACTGTGGCAGCAACAAAAATGAATGCGGAATCATCTCGATCTCATGCAGTATTTACATTGATTGTCACACAAACATTAGTCGACCCTCAGTCACAGGTAACGTCAATTCAATCATGATTCATACATTGATGTCGGAGATATGGCGGAAATATGAAACATATATTTTTACTGTATGAGATGAACTTATATAAACTTGAACGATATTGATAAACAGATATAGCTGACATTGAATAATTGACTATATATCTTGAGTTAAGTTCAGTAGAGAACTTTCATAAATTAATATACATTATAATAGATGAACTGAAAATGCAGAAATGTTACGAAAAACATCTGTAAATTTTTTTATTGTTATTAGGTATTCAATGAATCCCATTTTGGCTTTTTTTCAGTTATCATGAACTCAAGATCCTAAGTTTCAAAATTAAATTGTAATTTTTTCCAAAATAATATATTTATGTTGAACTTCTTTCAAATGTATTCTAATATTCTTTTTGCCAATATCTGTACTGTGTAAAATTTCCAATTATTTCCATATTCCACTTTGAATGTACGCATAACGCATTGTATAGAACATAAAACCCTTAATTTTTTTACATATTAGTTACTTCACCAGAGGTATCAACAATTTTAAAATGTATATATTATTGTAAATCAGAAATATGAAACACATTCATGTCCAAATGTCAAACTTTCTTTTAGGTTTCTGGCGAAAGAGTCAGCAAAGTAAGTTTGGTTGATTTAGCTGGAAGTGAAAGAGCATCTAAAACTGGAGCAGAAGGAAGTCGATTAAAAGAAGGAAGTAATATTAATAAGTAAGTTTTCTATGAAAAGTGTAATTGGTAATTATGCTTTACCGACCCATTATGATTTTAACTGACATTTTCCCATCGGTAATCTTCACCTTTTCAATGTACGTTTTTTATTTAGATCGTTAACAACACTTGGACTCGTAATAAGTTCACTTGCTGATCAAGCCTCTGGAAAATCAAAAAATAAGTTTGTGCCATACAGAGATTCAGCATTGACATGGATATTGAAAGTAAGTGTGATATTTTCGAAGTTATAAGTGATTTTAAGACGCAGTCTCTATTTTAAAATAGAGCGATGATATTGTTGAATCGTGAATATTGGCAATGACTCGACGCAGTTCATCTATTTCATATTCAGATTAAAATTGTTTTGTCGATAACAAGTTTAGCTGCCGCTGATATTTATTATGATTTTGCTTACCTTCTTGCAGGATAATTTGGGTGGGAACAGTCGAACTGCTATGGTTGCAACAATCAGTCCATCGGCTGATAATTATGAAGAAACGTTATCAACATTGAGGTTAGTTATAAAATTTTCTTTCTGAAATAATTTTCATGTTTTATTTATAATAACGTACTTACTTCCAAAATAACAAAATGTCTCCTGAATCTCCTCTTCTGGTATTAAGGTGTTATATTTAATAATAAACTCATTCAATTTGAAATGGAATGAGATCTTAACTGTAATTTTTTTGACTATTACTGAGTGTGATGGAGTTACATTTGAACGTCTGTGTTCCATATTATCAAGCTGTGATATCAAATTCTAGGTATGCTGATCGTGCTAAGCGAATTGTCAACAAAGCAGTTGTTAATGAGGATCCAAATGCTCGTATCATCAGAGAATTGAGGGAAGAAGTCGAAAAATTACAAAATCAACTCAAAGAATCAGAAGTGGGTGAACTTATTTCATATATCAAGTTATCAACATATTTCAGGCTCAATTACCATGATTAAATTTGTTGTCTGCGTGATCAAATATCGTCAGTGATTTTAGTAGAGTTTTACACATTTCAGTTTTCGGACAAGTTTATTTGATTTTACAATTTATAATGTAAAAATATTATTGTTATGAAATATTCATTTCATTGAAGTTTTGTTAATTCTATACTAAAACTAAATGACATTGATAACAAAAATCCATAGTAAAAATTTTGGTGTTGAATATATGATATTAAAATGAATATGAGATGTATTTTTCTCTTTAAATCACATTCAATGTCATTTTTGTTGGTGGAAATGAAGTTTTTCATCGACTGTTCTTGTTTGTTTCAGAGCATGAGAGCCCCAGAATTGAAAGAAAAATTAGAGCAGAGTGAAAATTTAATTAAAGAAATTTCGCAAACATGGGAAGAAAAATTACGAAAAACAGAAGCTGTTCACAAGGTATTTATAATAAATAATTGTAGATAACCCGAAGACAATGAGATTCGACTTGTATCATGCTTGATTTTGTGGTCATTTTTAACTATTAAAAAATATTTTTTTAGCAACGTCAAGAAACTCTTGAAAAAATGGGTCTTTCACTAGAAAAATCCGGGATAAAAGTCGAAAAGACAAAATGTTTTCTTGTGAATCTCAATGCTGATCCATCTCTGAATGAATTGCTTGTTTATTACTTGAAGGTAACAAACAGTTCACTAACTTGATTGATTTCATTTTGACAGAATAAATACTGTATTACAAATTACAATATACTTCAATCAATTACGGAATTAAAAAAGCTGTCAATTTATTTTTATTCTATAAATTGTTGATGAAAGATTGTAAGAATTTAGTACAATTTTGTTTTTGAATATTTACATATATTAATTTGCTGGAGTAGACTGCACTTGTTGCCCCATTATCTCCTTGTATAACCTTTCAAATTGGTTTCATAAATTCAGCCTACAACAACAGTTGGTCAAAACGAAGAGAGCGATATGCAACTCAGTGGTTTAGGTATTTTGGATTTTCATTGTCATGTGGAAATAACTAACGAAGGTGGTGTTTTCATTACTCCTATGAAAGATGCAAGGTAATTGTGATTGATATTTTGGTTTTTAGTTGGGGAATCTCATTTTTGTATCAAGCTACTATGAACACCAAAATACAAAAGCCCATGCAATATTTTTTTTATTATCTAGTTTTATAATTCGTAGTGCCAAGCCATGAGTTTTTATGGCATTATTATGTGATCAGTCATGTACTTGCTCTCCATACATGATACATACATACATCATACTTAATACGATTCTGACCTTTAAACAAGAATAAGCTAATCAACTTCATAACAACTTCATGACCTGCATTAACATACAGTTATCACATCTATTTTACTTTAATACTAAACATAATTCAAATTTTCCAACGCCTTCAAGATTTCTATGTAATGTTTTGAGTGATACTAAAAATTGTTTTACTGTGACAAAAATATCCGAATATCTTAGCTGGGAACTTATGTTTCTGAATTTTGATGTTCTTAGTTACACATGTTTCTTTATGTCATTCAAATCTATTTCAATTGCACAAGATGTATATGTAGTATTACTATATTGTGATTATCTTATGTGTTGCTACGCCTAAATCAATCATTTTAATTTATTAATAGATTTTGAAATCAATATTATGGTGATGATAATAAAATATTATGTGTTCATGATCAGACTGAGACTTATTAATAATTATGATAATACTCAGAAGGAGATCATAAATGCATTTAATTTATGAAATACAGATGCAAATTTAATAAGGTCCTAAAATAATAATATCAATAATATGATATACTAATGCTTAACCTAGTGGTTTTCAATTCATTTATTATTATTTAAATAAATTCTTATTTGAGAAGTACAACATTGCATCTATTTTTGTGGGACTTATTTTGTTGATTTATTTCAAGGAAGTAAAGGTATGGGTATGTCGAATTAGAAATATGGGTATTTTCCTGCAATAAAACAATATTTTGATTTGGTCCAATTTTTCAGAACATGCATAAACGGTCAAATAATCAACTCAAGAACAAATTTGCGACATGGAGATAGAATATTGTGGGGAAACAACCATTTTTTTAGAATAAATATTCCAAGGATTCCTCGCCTTACTCTGACAAAACCTGAAAATGAACAAAAGGATAAAGAACCATCAGATGGTGACAAGATACCACCTTCAGGTAATCTGCGACTTTTAGGCGCTTCATATTTGATTTGCATCATGAGAATTCAAATGAATTCACTGAATAAAAATCATGATAGAATTCAAATTTAAGTTTCTTGAAACAGTTGAATTTGGGGCATATGGCATGGTTTTTCTCAATTTCCTGATTTAATCTCATTGTCTGTTGTCATGTTATAAATTATTGATGTATTTTTTCAGAATCAGATATATCATTGAATGAATCTACAATAGATTATGAATTTGCACAAAGAGAGGTTTTAATGAATCAAGTCGAAGGTTAGTCAATGATTACTTTGTGTGTGTGAGGATTTTAGGCATTGATAATACAGGCACAAACATTCCAATAAAACTAGTTCTTTTATTCTTATAGATGTATTTACGGTAGATTGTTTTGTTATATTTTATAATATCACCATCTATTTTTACCCTCTTAATATTTGGATAGCAATGTATGGCATTGTTCAAATTTTGTGTTGTGTAACTGAAATTTTAAATTCTGCTTCTCTTCAGCAGCTAATGAAAAATAAAATATTTCGTTGAAAAAGCCTGAATTCTATGTTTCCTGGTTGATTTTGTTAGATGTACTGTCTGTCTTGAACCAAGCCCTTGTATTTTTGTTATTTATTTATTATCTTTTGGCACTAAAGTATAAATACTAAATATGTAAATTTTTTCTAAATATCCAGCTCCAATTCAAGAAACTATAATGCATCTTGAAAATGAATTCAAACAACTGACTGATGAAACTAATTATTCTACACTAGATATTGATGAAAGGAATAAATATGAAGAGGTAATGTTCACATATTTCTACACAACTCAACATGGCTACGTGTTTATCTATGACTCATTATAGGAAGTAGCCAGGTTTTTTCTATTGTTTTACAATCTTTTATTGACTTCATGTATATTTTGCAAATTTTGTATGTATTACTTTTTTTGAATTATTGTTTGAGCTATATTTTTAAACATTAATCAGATAGTTGTAATTTTTAGTTATCAACTTTTCATGTTTTTATTAAACCTATTTATACCAAGTTTTGTGGAGTGACATGGCATGACTTATGCTCATTAGAGATTATTAGATATCAAAATTTATTTCTAGGTAGCATTTTACATAGTACTATCCACCAAGCATTTGTGTCTGATCTTCTTGTTATTTGAATAAGTGCTTGGGCTATGTGACAACAATAACATGAATGTAAGATGTTTATTTCAACTTTGCCTGTTTTTAGGAAATACGAGCTCTCAGACAACAGTTATTATCTCTTTCGCCTCGAGGTAGTTCAGATTCGCTCGACCCTCCTCCCGAGATACCAGAGGATGAACAAAGGAGAAAATCACCTCTCAATGGAAACAGCACAAATAACATACCTTTGCAATATAAAGATTGGAAAAAAGAAAGGTGAAAAAATTTGCAAACAAGGAAGTTTTTCCTCTAGAAACAATAATATTGAGATTTTTCAATACACACAATGCTAAAATATTTTATTCATGAAAATGTCAGGAATAACCAGCTACACTGTGGTGTCAAGAAGTTGCAAGAAGAATTGGTCAGAGCACAAGCTGCTGTTCAGGAAGCTAATTACCTGGCTAAAGAAATGAACAAAGAAACTGAATTTCTTGTCAGTTTACAAATTCCTGCTCATAATCTAACTCCCAACAGAAAGGTAATAGTATCTGATATAATTAATGCAAAATTTGTTTTTTAAATCTTCATATTCGCTGGTGGCCGCAATACTTATTCGAAAAGTGATAAAACAGAATGACTGATTCGTCACAATTTTTGAGAATAAAATAATATCTTGTCTTAGCTGAATATTTTTGTTTCTGTCAACATTCTTTAAATGGTTCCAACATTTTCCCATTTTTAGAGAGGAACGCTACTTTGTGAACCAGCAATTCAAGTTATAAAAAATGGTAGAGATTGCCAAGTATGGTCCGTTGAAAAGTTGGAAAACAGGCTTGCTGATATGCATGATGTTTATGAGGAATATAAGGAAAATACAAATAAAGAGGTCAGTTCACAGCATAACTTACACAAAAAATAAATTGTATTAATTGATATTGTAATAATTCTTCAATTTCAAATTGGACATTGGGACTGAAAAATCTTTGCATATACTGTACCTGTAAGGCATTGATATCAGGTTTATTTAATTATGTTTTTATGCTACAGAAAAAGTTTTTTTCTCATATTCTCATTCGGTTTTAACTTGTTAACAATATTAATACTAATTTTGCAAATGAACTCGATTTTCAGGAGACAGATTCATCTGATTATGATCCATTCATCGAAACGGAAAGAAATCAATTATTGATAGGAGTTGCAAATGTATTTCTCACTTGTTTATTGCAAAACCAACCATTCAGATATCCTGTTCCAATTATTGATCAACATGGACAGGTAGTATTGGATTTGATTTTTATTTATTCTTATACGAATATTTAGCAGTTGCGAAAAATATTGTTTATAAATACAGTAAAGTATTTATACTCTTGGTTTCAAATTATACTGCGTACTAACCAGACAAAGGAAAGGGCAGTTTTTCACCATATGATTAAGATGTTTTACTGGAATAATGGATAAATATAAAATGAATTATAATAAATATGAATATATCTTACTCTGTATTGCTCAGCAGAAATGCTGTAATGTCTAAACAAATTCAAACCAGTCATCTTTATTAAGTTTTAAAACGTCTTTTGTAAATTAGGACTTTGGTTTCAGCTACCCCTTCTTGCAATATTAGGTAAATATGCTTTGTTGTTGAGTTGAAATTTAATTTCTTTCAGTGCCATTCTTGGTTGCTATTGTCAGTTTTGAACAGTATAAATTTTCTAGTAACTTTTAAGTAATTATGATTTGTTGAAATATGTATGTCTGAGGAAGTTTGACCGTGGTCAGACGAAACGTTACAGAAATATATTTGTGTTAGTGTGCAGCAAGACTATTTATTGAATTACTCAGGATAGTTATCTTCACTCTTGCTACAGCATCCTTGCATTATATGCATACGGATCCACCGACGCAAAAGCATAGAAAACGAAAAAGTAGTTGGTCTTGTAGAAACCCAATCGATAGCACTTTTAAGTAAGTTTTAAGTTTTTCTAGTAACGTTTAAATATCTCTAATAATAATTTGTTTCACCAGGTTGCGGGAAAACTTCTTGTTGAAATTCACAGAATATCTGGTTCAAGCAATCAGGAATCAATGACACGAACTACAGACTCAGACACAAGTGATGACAGTATATTATCTGATGTATCAAGTTCTGCAAGTAGTGGTATCGGATCTAGTCTTTGTACTGATGTAGTAGCTGGATCGCAAACAGGTGCAAATTAAACTGTTAAAGTGCTTTATTTATTTGGTTTTCAATGTCTTAATGCCTTAGTTTTGAGATGCTTAGAATTTGTGGATGGGTCAATAGTGGAAGATTTCTTCAAAAATCACATGTGTTGTGTATGTATTCTTTAAAAAATTTTGTACCAAATCAAGATTCTCAATTATGTGACGAAATGAACTTGAAGTGAGAATATAATTTCCAAAACACAAAAGTAAAATACATTCTAACTAAATATTAAACAACATATTACTACCACAAGTTATTATTCAAGAATTTGCTGTTATTAACAAACATTTTGTTTGGTTCAGTGAATCAACTAACAATAGAGAATCATAACATGAATACGTCGTCTTCGTCATTATTCAATTCATCATCTTTATCATCATCTGTTCCTGTTGAGTTATCGTCCAGTTTATCCAATCATCGATATCAACAAATGACATGCAGGTAGGGTTTTTTGTTTTATTGTTTCATTCAAATTTCATTTCAAATTCTAAATTTTGACATCTTTTTACACAGAGTGACTGTTATTGAAGCTCAAGGTTTATCTTCTACTTTATCACATTTTGTACAATGTCAATATTATTTTTTGAATTGTCCCGATGTAATTCTTGTTCCACCTGATTTAAGTCCCGAAGAATTATCACCAAAGGGCAGGTAAGTTGATACTTTCATTTATTTGTTCTACATGATGTTAGACTCGAGTGTAAGTCTGGTTAATGTGAAAGAAGTAGCATTGTTGGAAAATGCTGTAACCAAATAGTTTGTGTTACATTCTTTAAACAACAATTTTTGAACGAGAAAGCGACTAGTGCAATCTGCAGTTCTGATGTTCAAGATTATTTTTGACTTTGTTCTTACTTCGCCGCTATGAATTGACTCTTATGTAAGGATAGCATTGTTTCAGTTTGCATAGGCTCTCTCTTTGACGTAGTTGAACGAATATTATTGTTCTACACGAATCCCAAAGGACTGTTTTGCCAATTTTGGTTCACTCTTTGAATAAATTTGTCAACTATTTAAAAAACTAAATCCTGAAATTATATTTTACCCTAGATTCTCATTTTATTTTTAATACTCAATTTTGAAAACTATTTTTGTAAATGTGAGTTATTTCATTGTTTGTTGTTATTCTCATTTAAATTTGATCTTTCGCTTTATTTTATATCTTAACTTAGTTGTTTTATATTTCATCTATCTCAACTTTTTACAGGGACTTAATTTACTATTATCTTACATTTATTTACTTTGCTAATTTAATTGCTAATCTGTTGTTAGATTTTCCAAGCATCACATAGTTCAATCTGTAGGCTCTGGATTGACAGAAAATCTAGATAGCAGATGTCTATTTGGTATAAAATCCAATCCATTTTTTCAGTCGATCGACTTTAAATATAAAGTTTCATCACACAATGCAATTCACATGTAACATCACTGAAGATCTTATTGATAACATCAATTCTGGATCATCACTCGCTATCGAAGTGTGGGGTCACAGAGATCGTTACAATAATTTGGGTTCGGACGGAGATATTCCAACTAAAATTCAAGATAAAGTTCGTTCGTCCAGCCTTTTGTCCGAGAAGCATAAATCCTTAACTGAGAGGTTTATTGTGTTTTTGTTCACATGTCTTTTTGATTTTTTATCTAAAATATATTTGTTGGTTTAGTGAAAAGGCAAGCTATTCTATACCTGCAAGAAATTTGAATATATTTTGTATCTTCTTTAAGAACTTTTTTCACCCCTAATTCTCTTTTAAGGCAGAACATATGTAAAATAGTTTTATGTATTGGGGTATATAAAGATGTAGAAGAATAGTATTAATAGCTTCTCTGTTCAATCTGTCTCAACTTCTCTAATTTATCACATACGAGAATTTTTACCCAAACTATTTAACGAATACCATTGTGAATAGTGAAAACACCTGCATTTTGGGGCCAGGCAATCATCAGTTGAACATTATTTGCCTTGTAATTTCAAATCTTAAGGCACTGATAATACTAAAGACTTCATTAAAAATAATCAGCTAGGTTTTTAGAATTGATGATAAATAGATAAGTTATCGGAAGCACATAGAGAATTGTTAGGGAAGAATAAAATAATTGATTTTTCAATGTTTTCCTTTATTTAGATGGAGTGAAGTAATAAAACGAATCAAATTAGAAATTATAATTCTGGAACTTGGTGAAAATGCTGAATATGTTCCAGTTGAAATCGTTAATAAATTAGATGTGTTGAGTAAAGGTGTCTTTGAACTGAAACAAGTAAGTGATTATGTTGTTACTTGTGTTTTTTTCATTCCCTGACATACTTTCTTGCTATTCAATATAGGTCTCGAATAAATATGCTCTCTGTGTGAGTTGCTGAATCAGGGTTGCCTAAAACAAATAGGAAGAATTTAGAATATTTTCTTGAAAATATAATAATATAGGCTTAACTTTCGACACTGAAATTGAAAAAATTTTTATCAAAATTATTCTGCATTGCCAAATTCAATTTCTATTAATTTACAATGATTTCTACATATTTCCTTTTTCAATTTAAAATATTCTAATTTTAAAAATATACTATAATAATAGTACAAATCTCTCTCTAGGGCCAATCAAGGCGAATTGAAGTATCTGTTGAGACTGTACAAAACTCAGGAACTTTACCTCTAATTGTCGACAGTATTGCTTCTGTGTATGCAGGGAGTGTCCAATCTGGGAGTGCAAAGGGTCAAAGGTCAGTTTCAACATTTTGATATGCAAGAACTATTCATGATCAATTTGGAATTGTTTGCATCGGTGTTGTCAATCATTTGGATATCTGTTGTTAATAGTTATTGGACACAGACAGTTTAAAACACAAAAGGATTCTTCGAAATATTTATTTAAACTCTGAGAACTCTTACAAAAGAATTTCCATATCACACCGGATTTCAACTTAATAAGAAATTAATTTAGTATGGTCTCTGGATAATACCCTACAAATTTCAAATTGAGGAACAGCATGGCTATATTTGTCTTTGTGTAAAAGTATTTAAATTTATTTATAAATTTCAATAGCAACCTAATCGCAAATTCCTATTTTTTTAGCAATATGGACAGTTACCATGACAATGATTTAACAAACTTAAGAAATACTTGGCTTGATATATTGGAGAAACGTAAAGATTATCTTGATCAAGAAATCAAACGACTTGCTAACAAGGGTAAATACATCTTGATTTGAGCTGCAGAAGCTTTTTTTGAAACTGTCATCAGCTTTTTGCATGATAACGTAAAAGTTTTGTTCTCGTATAATATTGAATACTGCATATAGAAGATATTGTGTATGTTTCTTCAGCTGATAAAAGTTTACTTGAACAAGAGAGAGAATCTCGTTTATTCGATCAATGGTTGACCTTAACAGAAGAACGGAATTCTTTAGCAACTCCTCATGCTGGTATTCCTGGTGCACCTGCTTCATGGGATCCTCCTGATTCTATAGAAATGCATATTCCTGTCTTGTTTTTGGATATCACAGGTATGATGTGCAATCGGTACCTTGTGATTGATTATATCATGTGCAATATGGCAATACTTGATGTGTATTTTGATGTTTTCACTTCAAGATAAAGTTTGTTCGTCCAGCCCTTTGTCTGAAAAGCATAAATCCATAAAAACACAACAAATCTTTCTGTTAATTTTATGCTTTTTTAGACAAAAGGCAACATATTGAAATGAATTTCAATTGCTTACAATCAATTTTTTAATTTTACAAGGGTTTTTGATTTCACATATACAAGATATCTATTTTATCTTATCCTTCTTGCTATTTGTAGGTGATGATTGTAAAAATGAATTACTTCACAAACCACGAGGTCTCGATAATATGTTGCCGAATGAACTGCCTGGAAATTATATCGAAGTTCCAATCATAAGAGCGGGAACTGATGAGGTTGGTAATATTTGTTATTTTGTTAAGATTTCCAAATTTTTTGTTACGAGTTGCTTCAGCATTTTTAAGTCTTCGTAGCATTATTTTGATTATTATTTTATATGTCGTCTCGTATTGTAATAATGTATTTATACAGATGCACAACCATCTTACTGCAGTTGCATCGTGGGATTCATCATTACATGATTCAATATTGTTAAACAGAGTTACTCCATCTAATGAGCAAGTCTATGTTGTAATACAGGTAGTTTGTTTGTCTATTTTGAAAAAATAACTGTGTTAATATTATTATGTAATATTTATAGTTTACAAAGCACAGCAAGTGTGAGCAAACCACAGTCCTCAGACTGTATACAGCTTGTATTGAATTATCATACGACGCTCCATGTTTTATATGGATAAAAGAATCATTTATGAGAAAACAATGGTTGATTGCTACAGGTCCTTTTTTGCTAAAAAATGGCCATGATGAAAAATATTTGTTGGATGTTTTCTATATTTCCGACAACGAATATTTGTGCAATAACATGTAATCATTCCTGAAGGTATACAAGAATAAATATACATGCTCCTTGACAAATATTAATTTGCAGGCTTTGCTGAGTAGAGTATGGCTCCTGATTTTTAAAAATTTTTACAGGTAACAGGGTCCATTTTCGTCATTGGTGGAATTAGAAAATTGAATATACTTGCAATTTAGTTAAAATAAAACTTTATCAGTTATGAGAACACTGCATCAATAGAAAGTGCTGTCCCCGGCTAACTTATGTGACCCCCGAGCCAAAACAATAACACTGGTCTACAAATGTTGTAGACATAATGTTATGTGCTGACAACACCAAAACCTTGGATTCATTTGATTCCCAACCATTGCGTCAATGTATTTTTAAGTTCAATCCTCTTACGCTAATTAATTCAGGACATTTTTACTAAGTACTCAAATGGACTGCAACCGTCTGCAAGGTCTGAAAACCCATTTACGGAATTGAATTTTTTATTTATTTTTCCAATTAAGAGAAAGTTATTCTATTTAATTCTAAATTCTTTCAATTCAGGTTCATCTTCGATTAAGCCATCCTGTAGATATGTCCATTGTTTTGAGAAAAAGAATTTGTGTATCCATATATAAACAGCGAGGAATAACTGCTTTTATGAGAAGAAGAATGCAAGGGAAGGTATGTGTTTAATAAGCTTTCATATTTTCTCAACGAAGATCGGGGTTTGTTGAAAGTTGGGTGAATCCATTTTGCTGCAAAATCATGATACATACCAAGTTTTGCCACTTTTATTTATCAAGAAATGGCAATATGTGTCTCAAATTTGGACTGTGGAAATATGTAATTTCATAGATGAATTGTTATTTTTTGTTAATGGGTGAATCCATGATATACTTCTTCCACTTTCTTAGTTATTGCGATCATCTGGAGTGATATATGAATTGGTATCGAGCATTCCATTATCATCTCAAGACAACGAAGACCAGGAATCTCTTGCTATTATGGCTGCTTCGGGAGTGGATTCAAATGTAAGTGTTTTTTGTCTCCTGTCTATTGATCTATTTTGGCATATGGACTTAGATAAAATGCAATCGAACACAAACAAACTTTTATTTTCAGGATACTACTGATGACAAAGTTTTAGATGATAATAATGATAAATCAACAAAAACTAAAAAGAATCCATTCGAATCATATGTAACTCGGTCGATGCAATCTGTAGATGATATTTTATCTCTCGATAAAATTCGACAACAAGTTACTTTACGAGAAATTATTCATGCACATAAACAGAAACAGGTACTTTTATAATGTAATAATAATCTTAGAATGAACAGTAGTAATTTTTTCGATACATCTTCAACACTTTATTTATGTTTTCGACTATCATTACATCCCATTCCCATTATATCGTAATGATGAAATAATAATAAGGAATAAGCTTTGGAGCCAATGGAAAGTTAAACAATTTTCGCTCCAACCCAGAGTTAACAAAGATTTCCCTTCGATTTGAAAAAAATTCTAGACTCCAGCTCTGCTCGAACATAAATTAACAGAGAAAACTTAGCCGTATGCAAGCTTTTTCCAATAGACTGTTTAAGAACACTTAGTGAAATTAATGCTTTTTCAGTTTTAGTAAGAAGTTTTGATTTATTTCATCACCATTAAATATCTGCAATTCCAACTCTGGTGAATTCAGTGTTTCGACTCCACAGCACTGGCTACGTGTGATGCTAATGTGCAAAGCCAAGCTGAACCATTACAATCCTTCATTATATTTTTGACTATTTTTAAGATTAAATTCCGGCTACCACGTTCAGAACGAGCTTTACAATCAAAGCAAGTTATATATTCTTGTTGGGGACATAAAAAACGAATAAAGGTTAAAATGAGCTGCTTTCGTGAATCGAATATCCATTTGAAATCAATTTTATAAATGAATGATAGGAATATTTAATTGACCAATTTACAGTGATATGAAAACAGTGATTTTGTTACACACAAGCAATGAGAATGATAACCTGGAAAATTATTTTTTTAATCTTATATTAATTCATAATTACATAAATATTGGTAATTTTAGATCATAACCTGGTTCATGTTAGACGACATATGTTAGATAAGTGTTTTTGTAATGACTAATGTAGATTTCCAATAACTGCATAGCATTTTTTTGATGACTACAAGTACATTTTTGTATTGCATGCAAAGTGATATAGACACTTCAAGGTTATAGATTGTTTCCTTCTAATAAAATTTAGCCTTACCTGGTCAAAATAATGTCATGCAGCATGGCTGTGGGGTTTCCTTGCTCACATAAATTTCCAGTTAATTAGTAACATGGGTGAATTAAGAATTTATAATACTTAATTTTTTTTCAGAAATCTCAAAAGAAAAGTGCTGACAGCAGGTGACAATGGCAGAAAAGCATTCAGTATGTTATCATGATGATGGTGTTTCCTATTCTATCTTTGCTGACTCGTTATATTATTCATCATAGTGCACTAAAAAGACGATGCCTTGCTATTTATTGATTTATTTTATTCTTTTACTGTATTCAATCAAACCTTTCTAAAATATTATCAGATTTTTTCTTAGTCATCACCAATGAAGGATTTGATCCCATTTCCTAATCTCTGAAGAATTTTTAGTCCCAATCATGCCTACAGCAACACAGCCTGCTTAATGAACATGAAATAGCAATCTACCGAAAGTGAATTTCTGTTGTTTTATTACTGTTCTAGTTAGCGAAATTTGATTTTGCATTTTTTTGTAAGGTTTTGGCTTTGTTCATACTAACTATTACACATGCTGAAGCACAAATAATATGAAAAATTAATCTATTAAACAATATATATTTTCACATAGAGTTAGGAGTTCTGTTCGATGCTCTCAACCTCTCCACACTATATATATATTGCTACTATTAGGCCATAAGATGTTTATACAGAAGCATGTTAGTTATCGATAACATCATATAGTGTCATTTATTGCAATTTTTGATATATTTATCACAACTAGATTTCAAACTTATTTACTTTAATTCAGAAGTCAATTTTGTTTAGTTGAAATTTGTATCCTATAAGCCTATAACGGGTATGAATGTGATTGTTTTAAAGCTCTCCAATATCTGTAGGTAATTAATTAATTGTTCATGCCAACTTATTAGTCATATTGCGAGGTGTTTGTAGCATGTGCCATTCACATCTAATTATCATCTGCTTTATGATGCATCAATTTATAAGGAATATTTTTTTTTATTGGTAGTAAATTCTATCTTCTATGCTTCTATCTATCTATCAACTCAAATGATTAGTTTGTTCCATCATCGCTTCATTGTGCCTTTTTAGAAAATTAAATGAGAAATATTAGCTATATTTTGCATCACTGTCACTTTAGAAACATGATATTTCCTTTTATCATTTACCTAACCACATTTCATGTATTCAATTTAATATAAATCTACATTGTTAGGTAATTGTAAAAGGCCAGAATAATGTTTTTTTTACAATCTAATTCAAAACAATTTTCAACATTTCAGCAACCGATAGTTGACTCCAAATGATATAAGCATTTTGCGCTGTATTTTTCCATTCTCTTCTTTTGGTTACTAATATCCATATTATGACGCATTTGTATGGCGAATCATAAACATCAATGTAAATGAGTGATCACCATGTTATTTTGAATCTCTAGGGCTGATGTATTTTTATAACATTGTATATTCTGAATCTTAGTTACTTAGACATCACCATTGTTCTTAAGTTTCATCCTAAAATCAGCATTATATAACAGAGCATCTGTAAAATGAAGTTAGTGTAGCATGCTGACGAGTTCTATAATGACAGTATTTCTTTCGAACTGATTGTAGTTCATAATGTATGTTGCCAAATTCAACTAGGTACGAACGGAAATATTAAAATAACTTTCAGAATAGATATTTATAAAATATGTAGGCCAAAGGAATAGAATGTAACTACAAATAATTAAAAACTTGCCTGCAAGACATCAAATATTTCAAAATTATGATGAATAAAAAGGGTCAATTCTATTGTTACTGCAAAATAACCCCCCTTTGTACAAGATTCTTGATCATGTTAATAGTATATTTTTAAGTTGAATATGCTGTATGTTATCGTATTAAATGAGAATAAAAGACTGTGATTCAATTCCATTTGTACAATGTCGCTTATGCATCAATAATACAGTAGTGTTAAAATCATGTGCGCTTTTATGTGTTGCTTCCTTTTGTGTAGCTCTCTATTTCGCTCGCATAGTTTCAATATTGATTTTAATCATTTTTGCGAATCATTTTTGATAATCGTTATTGCTGACTATTCTGCAAATTATTTTACTCGTCATTACATAGTAGATCTTTTTTTGCTTTACGTCTAAAATGGTATTTTTTCTTAATGATAAATTATTATTTATATTAAAAATAAAGCAGTATCATTCGTATTCTATGTGGCATGTTATTTACACGACCTCCTGTGAAAATGTTTTTCAAAATCGTTCCGAATGTTAGCTGATGAGTAATCCGTTATTTAGAACATTTAGGCACCATTTTTCATTCTACTATAGGTTGCAGATCTGGTCTCTCGGGTGGCGTATTTTCTTATACTTTCCACCTTTCTCTTAAGTTCCATCTCAAACAAAACATTGGTCGTATCATATGTCACAAGGAACAAATAACTGCCATTTAGGATTTTGCAAAATATAGTGTATTTGATAATTATTACATCAGTAAAGCTTAAATAGTGACTGCGCAGACACAGAAGCGAAAATTTCGTAGCTGAAAAAGGATGCACACGCTCAAAGCGTTGTTTGAAATAGACTAGTGGATCCGTTAGCTCAGCACAGTATATGTATTCAAATGGCCACTGAAGAAGATACCGAGTGCGACAAGTCTAACAGGATGAGGGAAATGGGAGGCACCTGCAACGCCACCGCCACTTGAAACAGAAACTACTTAAACGGAAGTTTAGATTTGCAAAATCCACAGGGTGACCTCAAAAAACTGAACCCATAAATTTCATTAATTTCCAGTTAGTGGTGCGCATTTCCTACAGTCAGGATGTCAATAGCAACAATTATGTTTATTGAGGCACAGCGCCACGAAGGAAGTCGTACGAAGACAACTACACTCGGTAGATTGCACGACACGGGTAATCATTTTCAGACATGGCATAATTGGTTTGCGGACGAGGATGAACGAGCTCAAGTCGTGAATAGGGAACGTTAGTGCTGGACATCACTTGTACGTTTTAGAGGGATTGATAGAGGCAACGAGCAGTTACAGCATGATGGGGCGACCCCCATTCAAATCACACCCTTGACTGACAGAGCGATTTCAGTGAAAGCCGATATGATCTGCAATGACGCCGAGTGGGCACCTCATTCATCGGGCTTGACCCGTGAACTCAGCGCAGAAGTCAGAGCAATCCCCATAGAGAAGTCTGTGCGAGTGATGGACAATTTTGCTAACGCATTCAAGGGTGTCTCCAACGCCGAGGGGGGCATTTGGAACATATTCTGAAGAGAACGTATTTTTTTGTGCAAAACGTGCAAAAAGAAAATTGATTAATTCACTCCATTTTTGTAGCAGTTAGTTAAGTAATTTATAGGTTCTGTTTGTTTTTTCTGATTTTTTTACTTTCACATTATACATCTGCCACAATAATGACTATTTTGACTATTCAAATTAGTCTTGAAACATTTCACGGTTAGTAATGTTGCGAAACATTATCAGTGTTAGCAACTTTTATTGCCATTAATTTAGGATCATCTATCATGCAAGGCAAATGTCAATATGATAATTATAATAATAAATAACAAGAGAGCAATGTTCAAATATATGGATACGAAGGTTAAATGTTTACGGCCTAATTTAGCATAAAATTACCCTATTTTGAACCCCTCGTTTCACAGACAAGTAATGTGTTTTTTGGGTATATCTAAATAGTCGACAATCTTGAAATCGGAGAACTGTGCTTCCGACAAAAACAAATACCCCATACGACAATTTAGCAAATCGATTCTTATGCATTCTTCGTGTCAATAAGACTTATTCTTACAGGTGTGAATTGTGTTTATTGGAATGCGCCAAAGCGCGATTTAGCAAGCAGCAGCGATTATCGCAAGTTTTCAGCTTACTGCTAGGAATATTTGATAAAATCACATGCATCTCAAATTACTAACAGGAACCCAGTTTCTAAGGATTTAGTTCAAGCGCAAACTACCGTGAACGAATATGATAAAACAAATATTTGTAAAACACGACTAGATGGTAGTTTATAAGTCTGATGAGGGCATTTCCCACCAGTTTTTACCACTCATTTTTGTAGGAGATGGCGACGCACTCATTTGACCCCATGGGTCAACAAATATAGTTTCTGTTTCAACATGAGAGCCGTTCTGAGAAGTAACATATGATGTAGTTGCGTTCGGTGGGTTTTGATATACAGATTTTGACATATATGCATTTCTAGTGACGATTGAAGATTTTCTCTCAGGGACAGGTGGAGGAGGATCAAAATTCTGAGCACCTGCTGTTTTTGCTCTTTTAAATTCATCATCGGCTCTATAATATTCGTCTTCCTCCACCATCACAAAATCACAATGTCTATTGTCTCGATTCAATGCCCTTCGTCTGTTAAAATAATATGATAAAACAAGGGTCGTACTAACATTTGAGCCCGAAAAAATTGTAATAAATCCGCAATAACAATAAGTATGTAATGCTAAAACTACACACTACGAAACCAGGATGATAAGAGTTGTGGCAAATATGCAACAGCACGTCTCTTATTAACGCAGACGTTGATTAAGTCTATAACATATTCTTCTTTTTTCGCGATAAAAATATCATGCATTCGCATTCAAAAAAAAAGGTTCGCTACCTTAATGATAAACCAGGGGCGTAGCCAGGCGGATGGCTTTGGGGGTCGGAACCTCCCCCTTCTGAAACGTAAAAAATCTAATAGCATCCTTCTGTATCATACATAGCAATTTTGTGTAGCTTAAACCCTCAAGACTCACGAAAACACATGTTTCCGGCGTCCCGCTAACCGTTTCGAACTAACTTGGCTAAATAGAAATTTTACCTTTGGTAATTTCTGGCAACCCTCCTGTGATAAACATACCTCTGCAATTTTAACTTCATAAGAAAAAAACGTGAATCATATAATTCATAGTCACGTTGGACTTGTAGTAAGGTGTGAAACTATTTCATTGAAAAAATTAATTGAATGTATGCAATAACAGGTTAATTTTCTCATGCAAAGTGGTGTTAAACTTTAATTTCTCACACTGGGCAATACCACAGAAAATAAGGACTTCCAGAAGTATGCGCACCAAGATGATGCACGACCTGAACATAGTGTGTGTACCGGTTAGGATTCAGGTTGTGCGACATCTTGGTGCGCATACTTCTGGAGCACCGAAAAAAATGGGAAGAAAAAGTTGAAGTCGTGACAAAGAATTCAACACAATATCATTTCTGAAATTTATGACATTTCTCAAATGTTTTACGTAACACAAAACAACTGTTGACATTAAACACGACTTACTTTCTCGATTTCGCTTGGCAGAACAGTAGCAACAAGAATCCCATCAAAATCGCTGAAAACATTATTCCATATGGAATAATCCATGATTCGATCTGCCCACCATTTTTCAAATGCTGTAATCTAAGTTGTGCTTGAATTTCTTCCGTAATATTGTTGCTTCTCACCCTAATTTTCTTCACCATTTTACAATTTTTTTTTCCAAATTTTACAAGTGTGCTGGTATACGGCTATATTACCGTAACGATGATAACTAGGGTATAAATGCCGAGAAATAGAAAATCAACAGCAATGCAAACGAATTAGAACAAAAGTTACAGAACAAAGTGAGAATAGATGTTGAAAAAATGCTTTATATCGTTGTCCCCTTCCTCATGGAGAGAAACAATTTATTAAAATACTGTATCCCAATCGTAATAGGAAACCCGATAGTGTCCTCCAGATCTTCATAGATCAGCACAATCTTGTACAATGTACATAAATGTCAACTTAACTTCCGGGTATAAATTGAAGTGTAAAGTCACATACAATAACATAACACTCGGGCGAGCTATATGCATCCGGTCCCAATTCATTACAACCTAACGTTAACATCAAAAGTTTTACTAGTGCATCCTACTAGGTCAAGTTCTATATTACGATACTCGTTTGATAAAATAATACAAAGCGTGTGCGATTGAGACTGAATCACGTGAAACGTTTAAAAATGCCGACAGTTTTTTCCAAAACTGTTAAAACCTATTACTTCCGTAAACCCCAATCGATGCAGATGATGATTACTGATATAAAGTGAAGAAAACTAGTCTTTCGACTTTGGAACTCATATCCTATCTATTTTAAACTGAATTTCATAAATAGTTTCAAGTACGTCCTTGCTTTCTCTATACAGTATCTCATCGCAAGCGATTTCATCTTTGCACAGGTTCTGAGTTCAGTCAACGGAGAAGGTGTTGTGACGGCATAAATCAAATTACTGTATAATAATCCACATTATCAACTTATCGAACACAGACAGCGTTGATACCTCCCATTTCGTTGTCTACGTGATTCGTTATCTTACGGATTCGGTAGGAGTGATTCCAATTTGCTGCTTTAACCTGTTGAGCAATATCATAATTTTATAAACATGCTCGATGTCTGTTGACGATGAGCGAATCAACTGGTACTTGGAAACTTCCGTGTGTCGTTTGTCCTAGGTTAGTCGTCAAGAGCACTTGTCTATTCGCCATAATGCATGGTGTGTAATGGGTGTGTCCTGTCATGTCGAGACGGCGGTTTGCACACCCGTACTCATTCAACCACTATACTTCGAAATAAACTATAATTTTTATCGATGTTCTAGTAAGCACTAAACAGCGATCAATGAACGTAAACTCATCACCATACTTTCGAGAGTAAGTTGTCATCATTTGAGTAATTGACGTTCAAGAACAAATTTCATATATGCAATAAAACATGCAAGGTATTAAATACAAGGTAACCTCAGAATATCACTTTTTGATATTTAACGATGCCCATAGCATACATGTCACTATCGGGTACGAGGGTGTGGAAACGTCCCTCAAAATCGTCATGGTGTATTCGAACTTTAGTCGGCCAGTTTCAAATAACACAAATTAGTGTTCTACAGCAGTCCGCGAAATTTCTCTGGTTGGGCCACTTTCATCGCTTTTTCACGACTAACAACAAAATTCTGGAATGAGTCTTCATTTTTTAATATCAATTAATGATAACATCATTAACACACTTCCCCGCTCGTATATTAAATTGTTGGAAATTATATGAGAAAAAATATTCGGGAGATTAGGCTATTAAGAGGCCCATCCATCGTTCGAATTTGAAACCGTGTTCGAACTCGTGAAGTGTAATGATAACGAATGCGCATTCGTTATCATTACAGGTTAAACATCACTCAATTACAACAGGGTCGTTAAGCACATCGTGCAAAGATTCAGGGAAATACTTGGAGGTTGATTATGTGTGGGAGGAACGCTAAACTCATCGACGATGTCAGTGCCGGTTGAATGCTTTTTTTGAATTAAGTGCATTAATTGAGTGTTAATTTGTACAGAAACGAACTTGTTGGGTAATATTTGACTTGCTTATAAAACTATAATATCTTTTGTAGGTAATAAAACTTGGAACTTCCGTTGATGAAAGCCGGAAAGCAACTCAATTACTTGAGATATTTCATTATGATATTCTTTGTATATATTTGGAATCTTTCGGTAACCGTTGTCGACAAAAAGGTTTTGTTGACTGTTATATATTTTTCATTGAAATTTGAATATATATATATATAAATATTTCTGAGCTTACAATTGGCGGAATTCTGCGACATTTTCCCATTGTCGCATCCTAGACACCGGTCGACTTAAAACCGCATAGCTGCTTAAATGGAGTGTACTTCTTCTCTCTCATTTTTGCGGGATCAATCTTTTTTACGATAGACTTTCAACTCATTCGTGGCGTGTAATACATTTCTTATCTTATGGTATTTGACAGAAATTATTTATTTACGTCGATTTTTCTTGCATATTCGCATGATCTTGATTCCTATTTTATCAAGTACGAGCGAGACGCTGATAGATTCCAACCCATCATATCACGCCAATTATGGCTGCTACTTTTATCAAATTTGGGTAAGTCTTAAATAAATAATAAGGCCAACGTATCGCGAACATTCACGACCACATAACATTACTCAAGGTGGCTTACCGGAATCGATTCCCCATTTACATGTAATCGGCCATATTGTACGACCTGACTCTATATTTTGCTTGGCGATCTCAGTCAGAAATGTATCGACAATATCGGCCAACTTTTCGATATCGGTATCGGCCAAATTTAAACCGATATTTCCGATATATTTAGCTTTTTAGTATGATCCAGAATGTTTTAAAAAATAAGTTCGAATACTGATGTTGCAATTGTTTCTTTCTTGAATAGATAGTGAACTATGGGCCATACACATACCCAGGAATATGACGCAGACGCAGGATTATGATTCTGACCTTTTTTTAGCCATTTATCAGCCAAACTAGCTCAACTAATTTAGATTTTCGCTGTCAAATTTTTATATTGACATTTTAAATATTACCTCACAATTATGAACGAATATATCAATCGAATATTAGTGGATTTTTCAATGATTAAAAAAATATGTCATTATATAGGCACAATCCTGCGCCTGTATCGGTATCGGCGTTTATAGTTGGTATCGGTATCGGCGACAAAAGTGGTATCGGTACATCTCAATATCATTGCGTGGCCTGGCTTTGTAGTAACCGAGCTGTATGTATATAGATAGAACTAGAGACTAGAGTGCGATTTACTTTCGTTTTACGAGATCAACTGAAGACTTTGACGAACATCTCTCTAGTGGACGGTGTAACAGGCCGCTTGGCGGTTTATCGAAGCTTGTCGAAATGCACACTAGTTATCGAAACCAACCAAGTACTGTGGTTATTTTCTTTAGAATTCAAAAAAAGAGAACCTATACTTTGATGATAAATATATCTGTTTAATATAAGGATATGATAGGATTTACATATTTATCCCGGGGGAGAGGAAAGCCGATAGGACGGCTTATCCATATGGCGAACCACGGCCTCTCGTCCGGTTACCATTCCAAGTCGGGTATGGAATTAGTTATATTGTTTGTTTTCGTAAGAATGGACTTGGTGGTGGAGGAAGCCGTAACCGACCAGCGGTTACGTGAACCACCCAACAACGGCGAGGAGTCCAGCAATCCTCTCGCACATAACCATCCATGCATGGGATTCGAACCTGCGAACCCACGCAGAGTAATTAGAGGTGCGGTGGCGAGCGTATTTCTAACGCTTAGCCCGTTGAGCCACACCGCCGCGCCAAAAGAGAATTTTTCCATCGTGCCATGTCTCCAACATAATCTGCACCCACGCACATTTGCACCTATGGTCAATTGCACCCGCATATTTTAGCACCCACAGACATAAGATATTTAGTTTAATTTCCATTAGGACTGCTAAATCCTACTATTTAGTTAATTGGTAGTTAGGAGATAACCCACGGTTCACAAGAAAGTCACAAATAGTCTGAATACCTTAACTCAGCATAAAAAAAAATATTTCATTGCTGATAATATGATTCAACGCAATGATCAAATTCACAAAGCGGTACCTTGAGATTTCTTTGGTATCATACTACAATATCATTCATACTAAATAATATCACACTCCACCCGAGTGACCACTAGTTCTGCTAATTTGCTTCATCAAATGCACACCAATATCATTGATAGAAACACGAAGCCAATTGTTGTCCTTCATTCACTGATTGACCACTTTCCTATTTTGCAATATTGAGTTGGAACATTGCACCTTGCATGTCCCAAAACAGAAGCTTGAGGTTAATGAGCGACTCACACACCGAGTCCGATTTGTATTTAAACCATTATGCAGTTAAACCATGACATGTATGGTGGTTGGAGTTTTTGACAACTACTTCGCAAATTGTTGTGTAGTCCATGAACACAACGCCCGCCTTACTGGTACAGTGTAGCTTATTTTACCAATTTGGCAAGTTCTACTTTAGCCGTAAACTCCATAAAAATCGCTTGTCCAAGAATTTGTCTTTTTTCAGTGTGTTTTTGTTAAGCCTATAGTTTCCAAGGCAAAACTCATGGTTTACTGTTAAAATTAATACTGTACTCGTGATCGGCAAATAAAACCACCGTAAACGATTATCGTCAATATTAAGAATATTTCAAGTACAACATATAATATCAGGAATATAATGCGAGTTTTTTTTTAAGTCGCAAACAACTTCTCCAAATGCAAGATTTTCTTTATAACAAATGAGGAATAAGTTAAATTCAACATCCAGACGGAACACCGTGGTATTAATGTCATAGGAAAAGGTAGAATTCAAGAGACGTGTTCAATTACAAATATGAATAAAAAGCAAGTATATATGTGCGTTTAAGATGATATTTGGAGTTTTTGATCAGTCTAAAACAAAAGACTAACGTTTCTCATTTACTCAATGTTGGGAGGAAATCTTTTGTTGCCTGAAGAACCTTGGTTCCTTTTAGCGAGCATTATCAACTTTCATACGAACCATCGGAGTGTGACGGCAGCTGCCAGACACTATTTTTACCTTTCTTTGAGGGGACAAGGCGGTTTCGATTTTCATTCGCGAGTTTGAGCTGTTGCTTCGTTGAGTGCCGATGTTGCACCGGGAGTTTACTGGATCAGGTATGTCGTGATATCTTCTTTGAAGGTTTAAAGTACTGTACCGTACTATATATTATGCTGAAATTGTAATCGGAAACCTCACAAAATAGAGTATGACAAACCTTTCAAATATAGCATTGGGCCAAAAGACTCCAATGAGAAAATAACAGTACATGTTGATTTCAAACAATCATATATTATAGTATATATTTTAATATATGTACATTAATGGCAAGGTGGAATGACACAAAGTTTCTCAGATACCGATAAGACAGCCGGGCCATTGCGT